TCAGGAGCTCCTCAGTTGCTCATAGAAAATCCCATCTTGGAGTTTACAAAGACTTATGGGTAGAAAAGCCACACTAAGTAATTTACTACACCGCAGTTGGGTTGTGGTTTTGAATGGCTTGGCAGCTACATGCAGTTATTCTCCATGATGAGTTGTAATAACCTCCATGGTGGAATCTGCTGTGAGACATTAATCAATGGAAAGGAGTTGCCTTCAGGGTGTGGCCTGCTTCCAATATATATGGAGAAGCTTAGAGAAAGGTTTCTAGCTCTATGGCACATTTTGGATCCTAAATTTGGCCAAGTCTTCATCTCCAGTTCCTGGACTTGAACCAGTGAACTGCCATGTTGCCTGCTGGGATTGTGTGATTTTACCTGCTGGCCTTGGGTTTGTCAGCTTCAGAGGCCAGCAGCTGCATGAGTTAGAAGAAACCTCTAACTCCAGTGGGCCTAGAACAGGAGGCAGAGCTGAAGCCCCATGTCAAGGGGCCTTCACCCAGTAACTAGAATCAGCACTCTGAAAGTGGACTTCTAGCCTCCTAAATTGTAAGAGAATAAATTCTTGTTTTTAAAGCCATCCACTTGTTGTATTTCTGTTACAGCAACACTAGAGAACCAAGACAGTGACCAATCATGTGGTTTGCTTACCACTGATATGTTCTCCTAGAATAGGGACTTCCACTGCCAAAATCTTGAAATCCAGTATGAGTTGTTCACCCTATATTGCAACCCAACAGATATTGACAAAATGAAGAGTGAGATACTGAGTGAATGACAGAGTGGAGGAGCAACCTACACCTAACATTTATGCCCATGAATGGTTAGTATAGAAACTCCTCTGGCCAATATAGCTTGCTGGTGTTTTTACATTCATGGATTCTTTCCATGTTAGAAACTACATTTAGATTTGTCAAAATAAACAAATTAACCTCATGGCTTGAGAATTTCTTAAGAAATATTATCCAGACAAACTTTACCTGGCCAACTGACTGGAAGAGATCCATATTTGTGCCCATTCCAAAGAAAGGTGATCCCACAGAATGTAGAAATTATAGAACAATATCACTAATATCACATGCAAGTAAGATATTACTGAAGATAATTCAGAAACGTTTGCAGCAGTATATTGACAGAGAACTTCCAGAGGTTCAAGCCGGATTCAGAAGAGGACGTGGAACAAGGGATATCATAGCTGTTGTCAGATGGATCTTGGCTCAAGGCAAAGAATACCAGAAAGAGGTTTACTTGTGTTTTATTGACTATGCAAAGGCATTTGATTGTGTGGATCATGACAAATTATGGATAACATTGAGAAGAATGGGAATCCCTGAGCACTTGATTGTACTCATGAGGAATCTGTACCTTGACCAGGAGGCTGTCGTTCGAACAGAACAAGGGGACACTACATGGTTTAAAATCAAGAAGGGAGTGCGTCAGGGTTGTATTCTTTCTCCACACTTATTCAATCTATATGCTGAGCAAATAATCCGAGAAGCTGGACTAGATGAAGAAAAACATGGTATCAGGATTGGAGGAAGAATCATTAACAACCTGAGATATGCAGACGATACAACTTTGCTTGCTGAAAGTGAGGATGACTTAAGGCACCTACTGATGAAGGTTGAAGAATACAGTCTGCAGTATGGATTACATCTCAACATAAAGAAAACAAAAATCCTCACAACTGGACCAATGAGCAGCATCACAATCAATGGAGAGAAGATTGAGGTTGTCAAGGAATTCACATTGCTTGGTTCTACAATCGATGTCAATGGAAGCAGCAGTCAGGACATTAGACGACGTGTAGCATTGGGAAAGTCAACTGCGAAGGAACTGTTTCAAGTGCTGAGGAGCAAGGATATCTCCTTGAGGACTAAGGTGTGCCTGACACAAGCCATGATATTTCCAATCACCTTGTATGCATGTGAGAGCTGGACAATGAATAGGGAAGACCGAAGAAGAGTTGATGCTTTTGAGTTGTGGTGCTGGCGAAGAATGCTCAAAGTACCATGGACTGCTAAAAGAACTAACAGATCTGTCCTGGAGGAAGTGCAGCCAGAATGCTCCTTGGAAGCAAGAATGGCCAGACTTCGTCTCACCTATTTTGGTCATGTTGTAAGAAGCGACCATTCCCTGGAGAAGGATGTCATGCTTGGTAGGGTGGAGGGTCGATGAAAGAGGGGGAGGCCTTCAACGAGATGGATTGATACAGTGGCTGCGATGATGGGCTCGAGTATAGCAGGGATTGTGGGGCTGGTGCGGGATCGGGCAGTGTTTCGTTCTGCTGTGCATGGGGTCGCTATGAGTCGGAAACGACTCGACGGCACTTAACAACAACAACAACAACAAACTTTACATGAAGAAAGATGTCTATGATACCCAGATGAGTATCATTCCTTAGGTTTTGTGTCGTTTTCCACTGGTGAGTCAGGAAAATGAATGGCAAATAATATAGAAAGGGTGTTTACGATATCAAATCTCTTCTCTCTAATTTTTAAAACTTCAATTCCTTTTCAACCATTACCTAACACACTGTCAGAAAATGGTTCTTGAAAAAGGAAATTCCTTTGTCAATATACTCATCAATAAATATGTATTAAATGCTAGCATGTGCTAAGGATACCCTACTTAAAGTAATAAAACAAACCAAAGTTCTCGCCCTGATGAAGCTTATATTCTAGGAAAGAAACTGACAGAAAATAAATGAATAAGAAAATTTGAGTATATTTGGTGGTGATAAGTGCTAAGATAGAAATAAAAGATAAAATGGGAATAAATGGCCACATAAGAAGACACTTAAGAGGACATATAAGAGGGGAGCAAAGTTTTCGTTTTAAATTGTTGTTGTTGTTATGTGCTGTCAAGTCCGGACCCGACTCATAGCGACCCCTCCTTGGGTTTCCAAGGCAGTATCACTATGGAAGTAGACTGCCCAACCTTCCTTCCAAGGTTGGGCAATATACTTTTAAATAGCGTGGTCAAGTAACATTTAAGAAAGGACTGAAGGAAGTGAGGTAATGAAGGTAATAGATCCCTGGATGGAGAGTATTTTAGCAGAGGGAATACATACATATCCAGTGCAATGGCCTTAAGAAAGATGTGCATGTGCCTGGCATACCTGGGAACAACAAGGTAGCCAATAGAGGCTGAAGCAGAGTGCTGGGAGGGAGAACCTTTCTGAACCAGGAGGGACAAGAACTGGATGATTGTTTATGACTTGTGGTTTCTTGCCTCCAAGATGCAGAATTGGATTGGGGAAATGTGTTCTTCCTTTTGGTTGCATTAATGTATTTAGCCTCGTCTTCTACCTCATCTTTGCTGAAGAAGGCATCAAGAAATGGGCTAACGAATGAACAGCAAATCTAGTAATGCCTTGGGTCCAAAAGGTTTTTTTTTTTTGTTGTTGTTGTTTTCCCTCATTCACATTACCCTTTCCTGCTTGCTCTAAAGATTAGACATTTAATTTGAATGACTTTGTTTCCAGTGTCTTCTCAGAGACTTTAGCTATTGTAATACTGAAGATTCTGCCTGGAGATTTTACAGG